ATCAAGTAGGGTGATGACAACAGAGCGTTGTCTGATCCGAGCTTTATTAATAATGTCAGCCATTTGCGCAGTATGTTCTAGAGTGCCAGATAGGTTGGGGGTGAAGCCTTTTTGTATGTTGTGTGCGACGAAGTTATTAGATGCGAGGAAGGAGTATACTGCGTTTCGGAGACAAGATGTAAATACTTTTAAAGGTATGGATTCGAGTGTTATGGGGCGGAAATTTGAAGGGTCATTATTGTTGCCTTTCTTGTGGATTAGTATGGTACATGCTCTTTTCCACTCAGTTGGGACAGTTCCAGATAGTCAAATATCGTGAATTACCTCAGTAAGTTAAGTTCTCAGATAAGGACAATTCTTGAAACTTCTTATCGAAAGTTGATCAAGAGGGCAAGGAGAACTAGACGATTTCATTTTGCGTATAACATTCGTAATTTGTTGATAGGTCGGGTGGTCAAGGTTAAATTGAACTTCAGGATCACATAACTTTGGGATCCAGCTGGGAATTACAAATAGCTTGTTAGGATTAATTTTAGCCAGAGATTTAGAGAAATAAGAAAGGCAATCAGTCATGTTAAATGATGGTAATAATGCGTCTTTTCTATTGATTATATTTTTAACATAGCCCCAAAAGCTTCGTTCCAGATATTTGTTGTGATTAAAAGACTCACTGTCATTTAAGTCATCGGCGTCGTTGCTATTGTTACGGAGCCTGTCACGCAATGTACGCGATACGTATTTAATTTCACTGAGTTCACCCTTTTTGGATTTTAAATTTTGTAAGGCTTTCTTTAACTCTTTAACCGTATACTCTTTATATTTAGCTACCATATTTTTGTCGGGTACAGTTTCAGTATGTCCATAATTATTTGCAAAGTAGCTGTATATCGCGTCATTTAAAAGCTTGATTTTTGAATTTAGATCTTGCAATGTGATTGGATCACTTGGCTGGAGTGCACATTTAAAATAATCATTAGCCGTTGACCATTCAGAATAATTTTTCGGGAGATTTATGCCTTTCTTCAGTTCAGGAAAACTATCGTAATTAACTGTATTAATATCATTGCCGTTGTGTTCATTTTCTGAAATATTTTCGCTGTTATCCGTAGTTATTTGCTCCTCAAGATCTGCACAAAGCTCGTCGTTAAGGCCATGTATCACTTGACAACTGCGCTGATGCATTTTAAGGCCGCGCGCCCCTTTGCATATCTTGCCACAACAACATTTAACAACCGTGCGACTTGACACAGGAACATTAGGGGACTGCATTACAGGCACTTGTCTTGTAGTAGCGTCAGGGGGATCTCGTTCTGCTTGGTTAATCCGCTGTTTACAACGCCACGAATGGCGACCGAGCGCGACGAAGTCTTCATCACAAAACGAACAGTAATAATAATAATAATAATAATAATAATAATAATAATAATAATAATAATAATAATAATAATAATAATAATAATAATAATAATAATAATAATAATAATAATAATAATAATAATAATAATAATAATAATAAGGAAACTTTGTTTAATAATAAGGAAACTTTGTTTAATAATAGTTTTGTAATAATATAATGACAATGACAATGATAATAATAATACCTACTTACCACAGGTTTCAGTTGCCTCATCATCTAAAAGTTTTAAATCATCTTGTGGTACCAGCTGTGCCTTCCCGCACCGAATTATGGCTCTTTCTATTGACGTTTTGTTTGTGAACTTCGAATAACATCCTCTGTGGTAACCAGCTGCTGGATTTTGCCATTCGTTATCGTCAAAGCATGCTGTATTCTATGCTACCTCTCTTTGCTTTCCATCCAATGTCTTCCAAATCTCTCTACATTCTAAAACTCGTTTGTATGCATACTCTGTAAAGCGTGCAAGCTGTCCACTTTCTCCATCGAAATGAATCAAACAATAAGAGGCCATGCTTGGCAATGCAAGTTTTGTAAGAACTGTAAGTACATTTCTTCTACCTTGTACTTCATGTAAAATAAAAATATAATGCTCGAAGAGTACAGGAAAAGACTTGAACTAGTACCGTTCATCATATATTACACGAAGTACCCAGGACAAAAATGGCGGCCATCTTGTTTCGAAGCCGTGAAAGATAATGAACTTTGGTGGCAATATACTCAAAAACTGCAGGTTTGTGCGAGTGACAACATTGAAATTCATACTTAGCTAGTGTGTCAAAATCTATAGATTTATATAAATTAAGATTAGATGGAGACCGATGGCAGCGGAACTGAAAGATATTTGCCCACAGAATACGGCCTAAGGAGCATCAATAACCGCTTTTCCATTCTTATACGAGGCATTAGGGCAGCCAAGCGCGCTCGTAGTGTTTGATTGTGGGTGTTTAACTTCGTCAATACAATTGCCCTTACGATTTACTGTATTTTCGACATCATTCATAGACGACAACTCGCAGCGATTGGTTAGGTTTTCCTTTGCTTGTTTGCCTATTTTTCCGTTAAATGTAAGAGTGTTCAGTTTACCTGGGTACCATATTGTACTGAAGTCGGCGTTTGCAGCATCAAACTTCTTCGAGCTTCCTCCGAAAGCCCGCCATTTCCCGTCTAAGCCGAAAGCAGCTTCGATAAAAATTTTCAATGACTCGTAATCTTTACACCATTTTACCCTCGTTCCGTCGTACGTAATACTCTCTGATTTAATTGACTCATTTATAATGTTGGAATCCCAACTAGCAGTGTGATTATTAACACTTGTGTTGGAGCTTCCGTGAACGTGACCGTCCGCCATAACGCTAATGGAAATATAGGCCATAACGCTAATGGAAATACATTTATTACAAAATATATATCAGTATACCCCCGTGTATGTACAAAACTAAAACTAAAATACCTTTTATATAAATTATCGTGCGCAACTGAAACATTGAGTTCAACGAGAATAATTTACCATGATAACAAAAATGCAGATGCACAAGGTCTTTAGCGTTCAGGATGCGGCCAAGCTAATCCTTTCAGGACTCGCATGGCGTTATCACGTACGGTATTGTTATCCGTTCATAATATGAAAACGGATTTGTGCGGACGAAGGCCCAGAAAAAAACCGAACCTAAAATTAATACGTTTTGTTATTGGCTTTGTAAGACAAAAGTACTAATTTTTTTTACTCGTTCTTTAGAAAAGTATTTTTAGCTGGCAAAAATTGTGGCTAATTAATTTAAATTGCGAATAATGCAAGTCCTTAATTTTTTAGCACTGGTCCTAACTGGTAGCTTTTCCATAATGTCTTTCAATTAAATAAAGAATTTTGGAAACTAAAATAAAAAAAAACTAAAAAGTGATTACTGTCGTTCCAATTGAAGTGTTCCTCAAATATTGATTCAATACATTACCTCGGGCTGACGAATTCATTTGATCAAGTTCCTCGAGATATTCATACATGAACTTCCTAGTATAATTGTAAACTTCCTGTTGAATAGTTTGAATGCACCAATCACCTTTGTTGTTTGTGCAACTAACCAATCATAAATAGAAAGGAAGTGACCAGAAATGATCAAATACTTGGAATTGGCTCTTTCACAGGAAGTGTATGAATATCTCGCGGAGAAACTTGATGAAATGAATTGGTCAACCTGAGGTAATTTATTTAATCAATATTTGAGGAACACTTCAGTTGGAACGACAGTAAAAATTAATAAAATGTGTGCATAATAAAGTCCATTAGTAATTCCCTGACTCCCTTGGCATCATAAGTCTCTTTGATAGTCCAGACAGCGAATCATGATGCATGGTGACTCTTATCGAGTTTTCTCTTTGCTTGCCATGGTTCTCTGCTTTCACAGGTAAACTTTCGTACTGCTTAAACCTGTGGGTTTCTTCGTCCATTTCACTTTCGTATAGGATGACATTATTTCCATGCATCGCGAGGACATCTGCAACCTTTGCCACTCTTTCCTGGCTCCAGTTAAATTTTTTAAGATGTTTGAATCTTTTTGCCAGTTTCTAAAAATGAATACAGATAATATTAGCATCATTCAAGTTTTTACCCATCATCGGGAGCTTATTACTGTAATATATTGCACGTTATATATTAGTATACATGCAGCTAATTCAGAAAAGGTTGTCCTTCAAAAATCTCAAACCTTAAACTCTAAGCGCGCAAAGTGTGAGGGGCAACTTCTTTTTACGGCTTTTGATTGCATGGGCAAATAATCCTAGTACACTGCTAGTTGTACTATATATTATAGTGCTTATTATATGTCTTGCTATACAGTAGTTGCAATGCAAAATTCGCTAGTAAAAACCCCAAAGTATATTGTCTGTACCAAAAGCATACAGTTTTTTTAACCCCAAATAATGCATTAGTCTGAATAGAAATCCCGACCTCAGGAATATGCAGGAATTTGTACATTTCACAACTGTGAACTGATAAAACCCAGCTTATTAAAAATGTTGCTGAATTGTTAAATTAACCAGATGGCTGCAGTGTCAAAATATTTGGCTTTCTCGGTTAAATTTAATCATAAGGAAATACATGTATCTTGTTAATTTTTGATGTGACACTGAGTGTATATCCACAACGGGCAGGCTGAAAGTTAGCCTGACCACTGTGGGAATCGAACTCGCGACCTTGGGGATACTAGTCCAATGCTCTGCCAACTGAGCTACGAGGCCAAGTGTACGGTATTTCGGAACCAAGTCTAGTACCTTTGATACAAATGTATTTTATTCATGACCGTGGTGTTTTGATGTTATCCCAGAGGTCGCAGGTTTGATTCCCACCGTGGTCAGGCTAACTTTTCAGCCTGCCCGGTGTAGATATACACTCATGCAGAGTAGCATCAAAAACATTATATTAACCTGAGTACATAACATCAAAACACACACAAAAATGCATGCATCTTGTTCTTTATGTCATGTGTTCAATTGGGCATCAAAGTAGTGACATTTGTTATTAACTTGTATCTCCCCTGCAAAGGTAGAGCACTGTTAAAATCCCGCATATGCTTTTGGGTCAAAGTCTTTCAATTGACTAGTACTTTATAAGCCACAATAGCTCCGTGTGTATATATATATATCGGTCTAATACTGCAATTGTAGCCTATCTATGTGAGGGCCTGTTTATATATGGAAGCCGGGCTGGTCCGCTAGGCGAGACAGCTCGGTAAGCGAGATCTCGCTGTGTAGTTATTTTTATAGTAGTCTAATAAATATTGTGAATTTATATGGACTAGCGGGCTGGCCCCGGCTGTTGCTGAGATCGATCTTGCTCGAAAGAGGTGAGATCTCGCTTACCAGGATGGGAATTTCTCCACTATATAAACACTCACAAGCGGGCTAGTCCGTTTGCCAGGATAAAAGATACCACCGTAAGATATTTTTAACTTACTAATAACAAAATATTCACGGGAATCGGGATGAATTTTTTTCATTTAAACACAACAGAAATTCATCCCGCATACTGTGCTGTCTCGATATAAGCGGGACAGTCCGGCTTCCATATAAACAGGCCTAACTCTAAGTCTAATCAACTAAGGTATGAATACATTACAGTATTGAGGCGCCTCATAGTAATGCATCAAATACTAGCCATTTTAATTAGAAGCACGGGTATTGCATATAATAAGACTAATTCCATTGTACTGTATTTAGGGAAAGTACATTTATTATGCCGAGGGGGGGGGGATGAAGATGTTAAGGGGGGGCTCCGAAATATTTTCTGGCATTAAAGGGGGGGCTCTGAAAGTTCTTGATATACTGAAGGGGGGGCACTAAACTTTTCAAAGGTTTGACCCCAGCAAATTAAAGTTAAAATGTTTACATCAGTTTCAGGTAAAATTTGCGTAATAAAGTAATTATTTTTGCGAAATGATAACCATTTTTGTAAAATACAGTCAATTTACATGCAATTTGTTTGCGAAATTTGCTTTAGAAAACGCCAGAAATTCAGTCCTAGAGCTTCGAAAATGTAAAAATTTTCTGGTGGAGGACCCCCAGACCCCCCTTTTCTCCCAAAACTTAGTATAAGAGTGCCAATCAATCACAAAAAGCTTTATTATAATTATTACACGTATAATCCTCTGACATCCCCCACCCCCCAAACGTCAGATGCTTTGCTACGTCCCTGATGGTTGTATTCGAAACCGATTTCAGTTTTAAGATATCCTTAGTCTGCTCTTCTAAATGGATACATGAAATCACCTATAGCTTATTTTAAATTTTTTTGCGCCAGGTTTGTGAAGTAATTTACGCGCCAAAAAGCATATACAATTTGCAAGAATGATATGTTCTATGTTTATGGGATATTTCGTACAAACGGGATGGAAATTAAAGAAATTGAAGCATACTGGCACTTTTGCATGCATTTTTGACAGGCATGCAAAGACATTTGCAACAGATGCCGGGAGACACGTTAAGTGGGGGCAACATACTGTAAGGTTCCAGCACATTACCCTGATCCAGGAAATCCTGGCCACTACATGAACGTGTTCAAGACTCCGAATACGCTGAATGATGGACAACAACAACCTGTTGATAATTCCACCCCTAGAGCCAATTTAAAATGTTTTAAAGACGGTGCCATTTCATCTGGCGCTAGTGAGATGAAAGAAGCAGCAGATCGGTAGTTTTGTTGAGGAGAAGCACTTGAGTATATCAGACATCTTGAGGAACTGCAAATTGTATCTATGATAAGAGAGAATTCTGGATTGTACTCCTTCGATTCCGAATTCTAGAGGGGGGGCATTGAAAATTTTAAAAACTTGGAGGGGGGGCATCGAAATTTACCGATAACCTCAACAGGGGCCCTGTAAAAATATGAGCTTTTTTCAAGACATCTTCATCCCCCTCCCTCGGTGTAATAAATGTACTTTCCCTTAGCTAAATTAAATGCAAATACTGGACCATATATATGTAGGCTATATGTCGTTGAATTTGAAAATGATTTCAAATTTGTTGGCAATATATATTTCAAACAAACTGTATTTTTATATATAACGGTCAAATGGACAAAGTCTATTTATATGCATATTTATACGAAGCAATGATGCATTGTCTGACAATTCTAAACGGAAATATACACTGTATAAATAAACGTTTTACCTACCCTGCGGCAAGCCTTGGGCGCTCTCTACATATTTTCTCTGACTCGTCTCCGGGTATTAGATCACAGTAAATAGAGCCAGATTAGATCGAGCCATGATATGCATCTTGTCGTTGATCTCAGTGCTTTTGCAATCCTTGTAATCGTATAAATTGGCCATTTGTTCTCTATAAAGGAGCCTGTTTTCCTCTTCGACATTTTGCAACAGCAAAACATACTAGTCTAGTAGGGAAACACCGGTAGTCATATCGAAATTTCAGCTAGCAAATATCGAACTGTGACAATGTGACAGCTAAGGCCAGACGTTTAACAACAAGAAAGGACTTCGAACTATTGTTCACAGTAGGAATCTTTCGTTGTATCAAATTTCTTCTGTACACTAGAAAGCTAGGTCACCCACGTACAAATCAAATTACACTTCGTCCAAAAAGCAGCGAGCAAAGAGAAATTGGGCTTGTTAACGTATACTGAGTACTTCGCAAATTGATTCTGTCAATATTTCTTCTATAATCGTAAACAGCTTATATATATACACCGTCAGTTGATAGAACAGACAGATGGTGTCAAGGTTACACAGCCTACAGGGTACAGTTACCCGACCGGGACAATTTAAAATAGCGCGCGCGGGAAGATCGCATTCAAATTATACATACATAGAACTTCACAGCGACAGTGTAATACAACAACCTTAAATTCTGTAAAGCTTTTGGTAGTATACCTTGCGTAAAGCCGGTTGAAATGGCGCATTTTAACCAGCATCCCACACAGCGAGTGACACAATTGCTACCAGTGGAATGCGCAGCCTTCTGGAAGCTACAATCCCAGTGCTACCAGAAGCTGAACAGAATTGTTTATCTGCAAAACAGCGACGTCTTTCAAGACCAAATAAGACCGAGGAACTACGTCTTAAACACCGCACACGTAATAAAAATTTGCGAGAAAAATGCCACAAAGAGTCTGTAAATGCCAATTTATTTTATTCGTCTCACGAATAAAATAAAGAGTCAGATTGATAACGAGTCAGGCCGCAACATCTCAATTACAATCGAGGACAGTGTATTATTTTATTGGAAAAAGTGGAAAGACGAAATATCCTTTCGTACAACGATCGACTAGCTGTGTGTAAGTATACATATAGAAATTGTATATAGTTCCTCTGTCGTCTGTCTGAAGCTGGATGACATTAATTTTATACTGTTGTTTATAATATAAATAGCCAGAGAATAATATACTCAGCTTTTGTTTACTATTGAACGTATTATACTGTAACCGTAGCCCTTGTCCATATCGTGCTATATATACTTACCGCACTTTGTCTTTGGCGATTAAACTTGTAGTATCAACAGAATCAACTCATGTTAAAGCGTAATTAATTAAAGCGAATTTGCGCTGTAATAAGTAAACTTCTTGTGTTATCTCGATCACAATGTTTATAAGCGCCTAAATTCAGGTGTGAAGATGCTAAGAAACGTGTCACATTCTATGTTTATGCTGCGATATTAAAGGGGAAGTGAAGTCCGTTCTGCGCATCGGTTCTGCGCATAACAATAGAGGGCCCTCTGAGGTAAACATTGCCCAAATTTTGAATGTTTCGAATTTTTCTGAACTCAAACTCTATTTCATATTCATGTAGAAGCATAACGAACCAAAATGGTGTTAGATATTCAGACAGTACATCATATTTCAAAAAATACAGCAGTTCAAAATGTAAACAAACCGTTTGTTTACATTACGGACTTGACTTCCCCTTTAAACGTTGCTCTAATCCTATTAAAATATCGACAGTAGGTGTGAGGTTTTGTCTTCACTTAAGATAAAACTAAAGGTGATTAAATGTTACTTCTGCCTTTAATCAACATTATTAAAGTGCCTATATCAGGGTCATGGAAATGATTTTTCCTGATAGTTTAGATGATTTTAAGAACATTTGCAATATATTTGACAAGACGAAAATTTGATCTTCATGGACTTTTTGGGCCTCAAAGTTGCGGATTTTGGCAAATTTTTGTGTTTGACCGTGAGATACAATTACTGGTAACTAGTTGTGTTGTGAGGCGGAAGTGACGTAGGAATGAGAAGACATGCTTTCAGAACAACAGGACATTTATAGTAAAACAGCAACATTGAACACTTTATCCTTTTTAAAAACACGAGAAAAGAATATTTTATCGGTTTTTTGTTTATTTCGCTGAACGTCCATGGTTCAGAGATGCCACATAGGTGTGTAGCATATGGATGCTCCAACATTGCTAGCCAAAATGAAGGAATATCGCTGCACAATATTCCGTATGGGAATGACGATTGGCCAGAGGCAAAAAAAGCGAAGGAAAAGATAGGTTGACTTTGTGAAACGAAAGAGACTGAACTTCGAACCAACAGCTTCATCGAAGATATGCTCAAGACATTTTATGGCCGAAGATTTTGTGAGACCATTCGCTGTTGGTTTGACGACTGAGAAACCAAAATTGAAACAGCTACTAAAGATAGACAACTTTGGTATCTGCGTGTATCCGACGATTTTAGTCTTGGGTGGCGATGAAATGAAACCTTTATCCGCAAGAGATCGCCGATATTCTGTAAGTAATGCATTTAGTAATTATGTTTTTACTATTGCCAGTCGTCAGTCCTTAATTTCGTTCAATGTGAATATGTTATATAAGAATGCATAATAAATCGTGCTATATATATTCATTAAAATTATATGTATTCATTACCTAACAGGTAATAAATGCTAAGCGGTCAAGTACATTGCTAAAAGAGGAAGGTGAACCCTCCACCTCGACTGAACAAGGTGAAACCTCAACAATGGCTGAAGTTTATACTGACAAAGGTGAACCATCTACTTCAACATTGGCTGATCAAGATGAACCCTCAACATGGCCTGGGCCTAGTGGTACAGAGGATACATTTGTCCAAGCAATTGCCAGGTTGGTAGTTGTAAACTATTGTATTTACTTAATATTATTTTATTTTAGACTAGCACAAGTGAAAATACAAAAGATGGTTGGTGCCAAACTGTTGAAGTTGCTTGTAAAAATTGCACAAAGCTGAAATAAGAGCTACTGCGATTGAAGCAGACAATACAGTTTTACCAATCCAAATTAAATTTTTGTAAGTCAGCAATCATTATTTTTGATCGCCTAGTTACATTAATTTCACTATAATATTAAAAAATTATGAGCATGGCTTTATTTACTTTTATAATATAGCATTTGTAAATTCTGAATGCTGATTGGCTAAGAGCCATGTTGATATAACTCAACGTCAACACAGAAAAGTCGGAAAATTTCTTTCTTTGTATTTCTATGTGCTATATTATAGACACTCGTGGAAATTGGGAAAACTCGAAATTGTGTGAAAACACTCCGCCCTTTGAGTTCGTGTTTCCACAAAATTTCTTGTTTTCCCTATTCCACTCATGTTGATATAACTGTATATCAGCATGGAAAATGTTTTATATTTGTTAAATAATTTATGTATAAACTTAATAGATGATGAAAAGTTCTGTGATGATCATGATGTTGGCACAATCAGTACAACCCATGATGACAGTGAAGACAGTGATGATGATGCTGGGGATAATGATAGTGAAGATGACAGCAATGATGGTGATTTGTTGGAGCCATCTTCTCAAACAGAGACAGAAGAAGAACCAATGATGGTGGACGAAACAGTTTCAAGTGATACAGAGCCAGAGGATGAAAGGATTGTCCTCGTAATAAAAAATAATTACAAAAAAATTTGACATTACACTCATTTGCAAACTACATACTAGCTGATTAAATTATACAGATGTATTAATTTTTTATGCATTGTTCAAATCCAGAGTGCACCCCCCCCCCCACAGGCACTTGCTCATTTTATGTTTCCCAGGGGTGGGTCATTTGAAAACCAACCTCAACCCAGTGGTGAGGCATTTGAAATCAATTAGGCCAAAAAATACCATGGTTTCCTACTATATGTTACAAAAACCTAGGAAGAGTAGGTCGGTTTTGAATTTTTTAATTTCATTTTTATGAGTTTTATACATCTATCACAAACCAGTGAGCTCTAAACACCAGGAACCCTGGTATTATTTTTTGGCCTTATAAAAGTAATCCAAATCAGTTTTTGTATTGATCTCACTTCAAGTGTTTGCAAATGGGGGATATGCCTCGGACATCAGTCCCACTTCGGGTAACTTTCCACTTTTTTACCAATCTTGGAATTAACCCATTGAGTCGCATTGCGCCCTGATGCACCCTACTTTATTATTTTACTCTGTCTAACGCCAGGCGATTTTACTCATCAAGGGGAGAGCGCTGGTGCTTAATGGGTTAACTGGCCTATCTGCCCATTTGTCTATTTAACCCATTGAGTCGCATTGCGCCCTGATGCACCCTACTTTATTATTTTACTCTTTCTAATGCCAGACGATTTTACTCGTCAAGGGGAGAGTGCTGGCGATTAATGGGTTAACAAAATTTATTTAAAATGTCAGAAGCCCTGGGGGTGGGCACTTTTGGATGCATAATATTATTATGATGATATCATTCCAACTCTTCATCATCCTCAAAACCTTTGAAGTCTTTTCGACCAAAAGCTTGTCTTATGGCATGATAACCACATGCTGGTAAAGGTATTCTTCTCTTTCCCAAGTATCCATAAACCAATTGTATATACTCTCTATAGGCAACACTTAGGAAATACCTATAATATAAGAAACTTTTCATGTAATATTTGTAATAGTTTTATATAAATGAAATTTTCTGATTGATAACAAATTGTGGGGATTTAT